AATAACTGTGATTTGCTCCATGAAGATTTGCAATCCTTGATTCCCAAGATTTGCTATCTTTGATATCCATTAAGAGTCTATTTTCATGTGCACTGTTGTGCAGTTGTGTGTGTTTCTCTCTGGTCCTCGTATAAAACACACACTAACACGTCCTGTGGCTTTGCAGACGTTCCTTCAGCATCTTCAGGGAGTCAGCGAGTGTGTGTGTGTTTGTGTGTGTGTCTGTGTGTGTGTGTGTGTGGCGTCCGATGATCTGTGTGTGTGTGTGGCGTCCTATGATCTGTGTGTGTGTGTGTGTGTGTGTCCGATGATCTGTGTGTGTGTGCGTGTGTGTGTGTGCGTGTGTGTGTGTGCGTGTGCGTGCGTGTGTGTGTGGCGTCCGATGATCTGTGTGTGTGTGTGTGTGTGTGTGTGTGTGGCGTCCGATGATCTGTGTGTGTGTGCGTGTGTGTGTGTCCGTGTGTGCGTGTGTGTGTGGTGTCCGAGGATCTGTGTGTGTGTGTCCGAGGATCTGTTCCAGGTCTGGTTTTCTCAGTAACACACTGAGGAATATTTCTGTGAAACGCGTGTGATGTTCCCCGTGAGCCGCTCCGCCATCAGAGCGCCGGCCAAGAGGAGGAGAACCGAGCCAAAGATTCCCTGATGAGTCTCGGACATCTGTTCATCTGCACTCACTGGTGCTCAGGAGCGCCTGACCCCTGACCCCTGACCTCTGACCTCTGACCTCAACAGTGTCTAGGAGAGCTGGGCTCATTCAGTCGGTTCTGGTTCTCTTCACTTCAACTTCACGTTTTTGCAGAACACACTGTTTCAAAGAAGAAAATCCTGACGTTAATGTTTATATTATCTGGATTTCTTCATACCTTATGGTCGCATGAGGAGATTAGAGTAACACAGTTACGATAATAGAGTTATAGACAATCGTGCGGTTCAGATTTGCTTCATTGTGAGATTCATAAAGCCGGAGGCGTCGTGGAGTTTAAGCCTCCAAACGCTGTTCCTCCCGAGCGACAGCAGCGGCTCAGCAGACAATAGAGCCTCGTAATGACATCCAGCTCCAGTGTGTGTGTGTGTGTGTGTGTGTGTGTGTGTGTCCGTGTGTGTGTGTGCGTGTGTGTGTCCGTGTGTGTGTGTGCGTGTGTGTGTGTATGTGTGTGTGTGTGTGTGTGTGTGTGTCTCTATGTGTGTGTGTGTGTGTGTGTGTGTGTGTGTGTGCGTCCGTGTGTGTCCGTGTGTGTGTGTGCGTGTGTGTGTGTGTATGTGTGTGTGTGTGTGTGTGCGTGTGTGTGTGTGTGTGTGTGTGTGTCCGTGTGTGTGTGTGTTCATGTTTGTGTGTGTCATCAGTCTCATCACAGTCATGACTGATATGAACGCTGTGTTTCAGAGATCCGCAGTTCCTCGTGTTCTTCTTCTAAAGGGCATTTTCTGACACACTTGTTTTCCTTTTACTCGTTTTTCTCTCATTAGCATAACAATATCAGATGATGCCAGTCGGGAACAAACACACTGATTGAAAAGTCTTTGAAATTTTAATCTGATCTTTTGCTCTTGCTGACAGAAGCGGATCCTCTGAACACACACACACACACACACACACACACACACACACACACACACACACACACACACACACACACACACACACACACACACTTCAGCTCAGCGTCTTGTTTTCTTTTCTCTCAGAGCAAGGTCTTGAAGTAAGAGAAATGTCTGAGCGAGGACAGCCGTCCCAGAGGAGACGTGAGAACATGTTTGGGGGAATATGGGAAACTGCCAGAGGTCTCGACACCGAGAGGAACGACATGAAGTAAAGTTCAGACAAACTCCAGAGATCAAATAATTCATGAAGAGATTCGTGTGTTCAGATTCATTCCGGAAGATTCGAGTCGAGTCAGCTTTATCTATACAGCGCTGTACAGCACACGGTGCTTCAGCTTTACTGAGGGAACAGGAACATAATGCAATAAAGTGTGTTTCCAGAAGAGAATAGCGTGTCAGTCCAGCTTAAGGAAGCTCAGTGCTGCTTCATTTTGTTGTAAAAAAGTTATTAATTTGGTCCATTTATATATATCGCCGCTCTGGAGTAAACCGTGATGTCATCGTCCAGCTCAGTTCAGTTCTCATATAATGCTGTCAATGCAGGCAGACATCCAGACGGATAATACTGGATAATACTGGATAATACTGGATAATACTGGTTAGTACTGGATAATACTAGATAATACTGGATAATACTGGTTAGTACTGGTTAGTACTGGTTATCATCATGTTCTTCAACTGTGTCTCTGGACTTCAGACGAATCATTTTAGAGAAGACATTGTGTCTGTTTCTAAAAATAATCCTCACATTCCTTTGAGTGTTCAGAAGTGGAAGCCGATAGATGAAGTGTTCCCAGGGTTAGTGTTCATTTCCGCTACCAGAGAGTAAATGTATTTCTGGTGTTTCTCCTGCAGGAAGAAGGAATGAAGTGTGTCGTCTCGATCACTGACCCTCGTCTGTGTGTGTGTGTGTGTGTGTGTGTGTGTGTGTGTGTGTGCGTTTCATCAGGAGCTTCTGCTCGTCCTTCAGTTTCAGACGCACTTTATTTCTTTATTTCAGACATATCAATAAACAACTTACAAAAATATATTTAAAAACCAACAAATGTATCATTGAAATTACATTTTACATTTATAATAATACCTTGGATGACTTAGTGTAAGATCATTTAAGGCCATTATACGTATATTTTTAATTCATAAATAGACACATGATTCCATAACACAGCATGTAAAGTGCAAACATTAATAAATACAACATATATTTATTGTACAACATATAATAAATACAACATTGTGGGTGTTTAAAGGGAAAGTTCACCAAAAATGAAGATCCTGTCATCATTTACTCCTCAAGTTGTTCCGATCCTGTGTGAGTTTCTTTCATCTGTTGAACACAAGTCAATTTCCACTGTAAACTGGTTACCAAAATCCATTAAAATATCATCTTTTGTGTTCAACAGAAGAAAGAAACTCACACAGTGTCGGAACTTCAGGAGTAAATGATGACAGAATCTTAATTTTAGGTGAACTTTCCCTTTAAGCCACAGTCGTTACGCATCAGTGAATGGCCCCTGAATCCTGAATCATTTTAGCGCAAGTAAATTAATGCGCAGAATAAACGCAGTAAAAAGAGCCGCTTTAACATCATGTGAGATTCACCGGCAGCATTTCATAACCCAACTCACAACATCCCCACTACCCCAGTCCGGATGAGCAGAGACACTCGGACACTCAGAGCTGTATACAGTGAGGCCTGACGTGTGCTCTGAGAGAGAGATGCTGAGAGTGGAGATAAAGCGGTTCCCACAGTGAAGCTCCACCGACCCCTGCTGGCCGCCGACTCTCATCACACTCACTAAAGAAATTACGTTTTTTTGAGGAAAAGGCGCCAGGCATTGCGTCATCACGGGGGAAGGTCACTCTGGACGTAGGTGGAAGCACCGCCCCATTGTTTTAAACTCCAGGGGTGCTTCTCATTTCTTATTTGTGCATCCTCGTTTCCTTTCCTCGCTTCCTTTCCTCGCGTCTCAGCTCCACCCCCTGTAGGACGCGAGGAAAGGCTGCAAGGAAAGAAAATGAGGACAGAGGAATTGAATGAAAGCTTTTTTATACATTGGAATACTTGATCACTCGCGCGTCACTTCACTGCGTCATCAGCAGCGCTCAAAGGATCTGCCCTTATGTTGTTAAAGTTTGTTTATTTAAGAAATTCATAATAAATAATAATAAAGCAAGGTACCTTGTTGAAATATGTGAGTTGTGTGGTTTATGTAAACTACAAAAGTAAAGTATAAATTCAAATGATTGTGACAGATGTGAAGGGGGAGGAGAATTGATACGTGCGTCATGTTTAGTCGATAAAACTCTTCCGCAAAGGGTACACCTGTGTATCCTCGCTCATAGCTCCTCTGGAAGCCTCCTCACTCCTCGATCCTCGCGGTGCAATTAGAGAATTGAGATGTCCTTCAAGATGGCTGAGCTCGATTGGTTTCCGGGTCATAGGATGGAGGAGCGAGGAGCGAGGAGACGAGGAGGGATATTGAGAAGCACCCCAGGATACACGATCCTCCTCCTCCACGCTTGTAAACAATGGGGCGGTGCTTCCGCCTACGTCCAGCGTGACCTTCCACCGTGACGACGCAATGCCTGGCGCCTCAGACCAGCACAAGACCAACAACTGTGGTTAAAAAGTATTTACATTTTTTTTTTTTTTTTTGAAAATGCCCGATGGTTTCGCTAGATAAGGCCCTGTTCCTCAGCTGGGTCGTGCAGAGCCGTTTGAAACTGCATTGATTTGGACTTCAACAATTTGGTCACCGTTGAAGCCCATTGTGTGGAGAAAAATCCTGAAATGTTTTCCTCAAAAAACTTAATTTCTTTTCCACGGAAGAAAGAAAGACATGAACATCTTGGATGGCATTGGGGTGAGTCAATTATCAGGAAATTTTCATTTTCAGGTGAACTAATCCTTTAATGAACAGAAACAACAAATCATTAACAAGTCATTCATTATTTAGACTTTTATTCACACTGAAGCCTCTTTCTCTGGAGCTGGTGAATCCTCCAGTTTTATAATGTATCTTCAATGTGTGTAAGAAAAAATGGTCTCTAATTGGCCTGATTAGCCACGAAACACATAAAAATAAGCCCTACCAATGAGTAAAATACCACAAATTTTACAGACGCTGCTGCATAAAAATGTGCAAATGTAGGAGCTTGATTTCGCCCATGGGAACTGATGGGATGGCTGGAGAATGATGATGTCATGTGACTCCTCATGTTTGACCAGCAGGAGTCGCAATGTTGAAGTCATGTGACTCGGTTCTGTTGTTGCTGTTCCACTGGAATCCCAGAGGAAGCGTCTGTGCGCATGCGCAGGAACTCCAGCTGCTGAACTCAAGAAGTTTCTGATTGCCACTGTGAGTGTGTGTGAGTGTGTGAGTGTGTGAGTGAGTGAGTGTTTAGAGTTTGCAACCTCGCGGTTCGGGTTCGGCCATGAGTGTGGGTCTGTGGTTCCGACTGTGTGACGAGGGCGACCTGGAGAGCGCGCGCCGCGTGCTGGAGGACCCGGGCGGGCGCGCGCATGTGGACGGGACCGATGACGAGGGAAACACGGCGCTGATGCTCGCGGCCGCTGGCGGGCACGAGCCCCTGGTCCGGTTCCTCCTCAGGAAAGGCGCATCAGTGGACCTTCGGAACCAGCACGGCTGGACTCCGCTCATGCAGGCCGCCAGGTGCAGATCCAGATCCATTATCATATTCATCATCATAACCATAATCATGATGCTAACAACTCCAGATTCACTCCTGCTCTGATCTGAGGGAGACAACTCTATATAGGCTTAGTTGATTTAAGATGATCAGCTGTGATGTTACAATCATCATTATGTCATTGATTCATGTGGAACATAAGAGAGCATATTTTGGGAAATTACTGCTATTTGTTTGTTCATATTTCAGGGGTTTTCAGTCTTTTAATAATATCAATGGACTCCATCCTAAAGACACCAGTGTATCTTATATGATCAGTTATACTGAGAAAGATTAAAGCGTTAACATAGTTCACCCAAAAATGAAAACTCTGTCAGTAATTACTCTCCCTCGTGTCGTTCAACCCCGTAAGACTTCCGTTCCAAGGGTGTAGCTTCGGTCAGCTTTGCCATTCTCAGTGTTTTTCTCTAAACTTTTCCTCTGTTTTATGTTCCGCAGAAGAAAAAAAGTCATACAGGTCTGGATGGAAATTAATAAATGATGACAGAGATTATTTGTGGATCAACTGTCTCTTTCATATCATATTTATTTTTAATAATGCTTGATGAATCTGACTTATTAAACTAGAAGATAATTATGACTGATTAATAATAATAATTCATCACATTTATATAGCGCTTTTCTGGACACTCAAAGCGCTTCACATAGAAGGGGGAATCTCCTCAACCACCACCAATGTGCAGCATCCACCTGATTAGCATTATGTTTATTATTGCGTTGTTTATTTATGAATTAGTATTCAGTGTTTTTCATAATTGAAGTCAATTCCATTTGTTTCATAATATTAGCACTCATTCATTTGGAAATAATGAGCACTGAGCAGTAATGAAGCCTTATCTCAGGCCTTGTCCACACTAATACGTTTTCGTTTGAAAACGCATCTTTTTCTCTCTGTTCGTCCTTCTGTTCACAGTAGAGGTCTTCTCGGTCCTAAAAACTGTACCCGACCCGAATCACTACTTACCCGAACCCGACGTGCATAAATAATTTTTTTTAAAGAAAAACCCGACCCGAGACAGACCCGATATAATTAGACCCGAGTCCGACCCGACCTGACGCCATTTCCTGTAGAACCCGACTGGACCCGAACGGAAACGGCATTTACATTGTGCACAGCCTGCAGCCCTGCGTTTCTCAAAAATGCACTTAACATAGACGCGCAAGTGTAAGCGCGCTGAAGTGCTAAAATGTCAATCACACATCACTGTAACCCATTACGTCCTATAACATTTGGCATAATGTTATTTACCGGACCATACGATGATTAGAACCACCATTCGTTTTCCCTGACATTTTTCGCAATTTCTGTTATTGCCTCCATGCTTTTCTGACAGTGTCGCGTATTTTTAAAATTGATTGACAGGCCTGGCTTAACGACAATTCAAATACTTGCATTTAGTCAAACATCCATCCACATGATGGCGCACTAGTTCTTCTTGGCAAAGGGAGGGGTTGGTTTATGTGGAGCGAGCGACTGAGTAAATGCGGAGGCAACCGTGCTTATGCTTATAGCCCATTTTGTTAAATGCCCAACATAGTTTAATAGAATTCGGGTCTTCTCGGGTCCATTTGGAAAAGGCATATTTATTTTAAATTACCCGAGACCCGAGGCCACTAATATCGAATCCGACCCGTGTCCGAGACACTCGTCTGAGTTTTGGACCGAACCCGCTCGGGTCTCGGGTCGGACCTCGGGTTTTCGGATCCAAGTGGACCCGTGAAGACCTCTAGTTCACAGTGAGACGGCGGGTTTATTAATGAAAACAGCTTTTTGAAAACGCTCTCCAAAGTGGATAAATTTGAAACGCAGTGTTCGTGTTGTAGTGTGGACTGTCAAAACTGAGGAGTTTAAAAACGATGACGTATTCATGTTTATAGCGGTTTTGAGCCTGTTATGTGCTGTTCTTTTTCACACTGTTGCTTAAATATGTTACTTCACACACTCTTCATATCACAGTCCTGCACACATGACAGCATTTACTCACATTTGCTAAACATGAGAGCAGCGTTTCAGACCAAACATGTAATGGTGAGAGAGCTGGACGATCCGTGCTGAGATATTTTGCTAAATAAAATGATCCTGTCAGAAGAATTGCTCTAACTTTATTATTTATTTTTCCGTCTGTATAATCTCAGTGAGTTTTTGTGAGGTTTTACGCATGTAAAGGTGAATTTAGCGTTTTCCAAAATTTTCTCATCCACACTGAAACATCTGAAAACGCTAGTGTGGACATGGGGCATTTTTAAATGAAAACACAGTTTTCTAATGTATCCGGATTAATGTAGACGTAGCCTCAGCGTGTAACAGGATTGAAACGCAGACGTCTGCATGTGTTATTGTGGTTTCCGCAGGTTTGGTCATGTGACCGTGGCTCACCTCCTGCTGGAGAACGGTGCCGAGATCAACGGCCGGAACCGTCTGGGCGCTAGCGTCCTCACCATAGCGGCCCGCGGGGGTCACGCTCAGCTAGCCAAACTCCTGCTGGAGAACGGCGCCTTCGTGGATGATCTGGACCACCTGTGTGCGGCGGAGGGCAGCGGGGTCAGCGGGGTCACCGGCAGGAGCTTCCTGGAGGTCACGGCTCTGCTAGCCGCTGCCCAGCACGGGCACGAGTCTGTGGTCCAGCTGCTGCTGGACTGGGGCGCTGACGTTAGCTTCGCGCAGAAGAGCACTGGCTGGAGCGCGCTAATGCTAGCGGCGGCCGGCGGGAGGCTAAGCGTCACACAGCAGCTGGTGGAGCGAGGAGCCGACCCTGACCAGATCAACGTGCTGGGCAAGACCGCCTTCGAGCTGGCGCTGCGGCACAGAGAGGTCAAGGGTTACCTGGACCCCATCACCACCGTCCGCCCGCAGCCAGGTGAGCGGCTCACGCGCTAAAGCTAACCCTAACCCTGTACCCCATCACCACCGTCCGCCCGCAGCCAGGTGAGCTTCTCGCGCGTTAAAGCTAACCTTAACCCTTCAGCTTAAGCTAACCCTAACCCTTCAGCTAAAGCTAACCCTTACCCTTCAGCTAAAGCTAACCCTAACCCAGGACGAAGCATTAGGAACTCAATACAGGATGGTGGTGGCCTTCAAGAGGGGAAGGAATCTTTAGGACATGTTGGTTCACAGTAAACTGAGGCCAACAAACAAAAAAATCCAACCAGAACTCATGGGACGATTGTAAGAGGAGGACGAACGGGAGTTTACAGGATTACACAGTCCATCCCCTTGAATAGGAAACATTGCGTGTGTCTTATCAGATGCTCTCGATGCGGGGTGAGATATGTGGGTGAAACCAGAAACTCCATCCTCACCAGAATATGGGACCATATGTTCACAATTTTGGAGGGGATACGTCACAAGGGGCACATAGTACCTAATTTTGAGAGGCATGGGATCCAGAATCTGAAATAGGTGGATTGGAACACAACCCAGAGTGGGTGGAGAGGGATAGGTTGAGAAGGGGACATTTTTGGATCAGGAGGCTGGGCACAATGTTCCCAAAGGGGTTGAATGTGGTCAATGGTGAAGGGGCATAAAAGTATCAATAAAGTATGGTGAAACAATCTTTAGTTGGTCCTTTCCAAAAACAAGAGGTAATAATGGGAGTTGAGTGGATACAAAAAAAGGTGGAAAAAGGGGGCAAGGGAAGGACAGGTCGGATGGGACAGTAGTTGGTTGAGAGTGGTTGGTAACGGGAAGAACAGGGTTTGAAACCAGCATCAAAAACATTTTTTATGTGTTGGATGAAACCAAGTGAGTAGATTATGGGTTAGGCGGGGGGAGTAGGGAAATCTGAGTTGTCGTAAGAAAATAGAGTTTATCGGAGTTCGAATCCAGCAAAGGAATAATTAATTTTTTTAAATAAATATTGAAATTAAAACAGGCTGGTTATGGATTGGATAAAGGGAATATGGAGATAGGGATAATTAGATTAGATGGTTGGTGAGTAAAAGTTATGGGATATGAGACCAGGAACAGCTGGAGAGAATCTGGAGAGATTTTGATGGTGTAGTGGGTAGAGAAGGGGATGGAGACCAGGCTGGAATGATGGTTTAAATCAGTGGTCTCAAACTTGCGGCCCTGTGGCCCCCTACTTTACATTAAAGTTTAATGTTAGTGCGGCCCGTCGTTGCGAGTGCCGCGTTTTTCTTTTTTATCCCTTATGGGCTACCATAGATAGTCTCATGAAAGCTTACGGTGGGTTTGTTGTCAATAGTTGTCATAGACAACCGCAAAGTACAAACATACTGCGCCTGGAAAAAATGAGCGCGTCGCTTCAATTATGAGCGCGCTTGCCGCGCGCCTACATTTGAAATAACGAACTTGAGCGCGCAAAATATGTGAGCGCGATATGTGATCAGGCCCCTTGGCGAGCTACCACCAATCAGGCTACCTACTGGTAGCTCGCGAGCGACGTGTTGGAGATCCTTGCTCTAAAACAATGTGAGAATAATCATTTTGAGCTTGTAATATGTGTCCAACAGGTTGATAAGAAGGTTTGCTTTGATTTGTGCAAAGTCAGTAATTTGCCTGAGACACTATACATGTGTAGAAAGAATTCAATAAGACGGGCAGACATGACTGCAAATATTTGTATTTCAAAAGCAATAATTGTTTTTCTAAGTATAATAAAAGGAAATGTGCCTTCCAAAAAAACAATCAATATCATATTGAAAATAAAAAGGACATGAGCAAATATAAGTATCACAAAGATGTTGTGTATAAGGAAAAGACGAATAAAGTTTGTAAAATGAACTTCAACTGTCAGAAGGACAGCTCATGAAGAACCACTCCTGTACAGAAAGGAATGTTCAAATTCAGAGGAACAGTTCAGAAGAAACGTTAATAATAAAGATTGAGAAGATTGGATCAGTTGTGCTCCTTTTTTGGAATACTTGATGCGGCCCAGGCTGACCCAGACTCCACCTCCAGCGGCCCCCAGTTAAGTTGAGTTTGAGACCCCTGGTTTAAATGATGGTTGGGGAAAGATTTAATGGGTGAGGAAAAGGCTACGTTATGGGAATGAGTTACAGGAAGATGGTGAGTAATAAAATCAAGATTTGAACTGCCAGGTAACAAATAATAAACCATGGAAAGGTCAGAGGGAGATTAGGTTGAAGGGAAGGGTTATTGGTAGAAACTCGTGGGATGAAGTAACGATGGTATGACTAGAGGTAATTGGACCACAAAGGATTGTGGGTATGGGTAATTGGGTAAACCAGGAGTGTGACAGTTGGTGTAGAAGGAGAAGGTGGGAAGAGAAGATAGAGGTTAGTTAGGGCATAGGTTCCTTGCTATTGCATCTTACTATGGTAAGCGTGATGTCTGTTGAGAGTTTCATATGCCTTAGGGGTGATAATTGGTAGAAGCATGGTACTAAGGTACCCGCCAATATGAGCCCCGTGACACAGGCCCTTTTTGGGTGACCTTGGATACCTTGCGGTGTTAACGAAGGGATCACTTGGGAAGGGTGGTAGGAATCCAATCTCTCTGGGTCCACTTGTACAGCACGCAGAGAAGGTGGCCTGGGGTTGAAGGGCCGTAACTGGGACCCGTTTTTTATCAGTGACTTGCATTAGTGGATATATAATAGATTGGTTGAGGTTGTTGAGGAGAGGTGGGAGGGTTTGGGTTAGGGGTCTGGGGATATAAATATAATTATAATAGCAATGGTCGTGGCCTTTTGTAAAAATGTCCTTTTACCTACAACATACCTTAACCTACCCGTCACAGGAGGGAGACGTAATTCCAGTGCAATTGGGCTATCCCTGTACCTACAACATACCTTAACCTACCCCTTACAGGAGAAAGGCTTAATTCTAAAGGAATTGGGCTATCCCTGTACCTACAACCCGCCTAAACCTACCCCTTACAGAAGATTGGGACCAAATGGAAATGGAAATGCGATGAAAAACAAGGAGGAATTAAAAACAAGAGAACCAAGAGAATGGTTTGTTGAAAGATAGGGAGCGTTGAGCTAAAAACAGCTAAAAGAGTGGACCAGGCCCATAAAAAACAAGCACCGGCCAGTGCATTCAAGGGGGGGTCCCTAATCCAAACTGAACACCCCAGAGTTGTCTGGGGGGAAGGCGCTGTCTTTTCACAAACCTAACGCTTCGTCTAAAGCTAACCCGAACCCTGGACCCCATCACCACAGTCTTCTTCATCACTTCTGTTCTTCAATTCTGCTGCATTTTTCAATTCTATCCATAACAAACTCACTTCAGATGAACACGTTCAGACTCACTGCTGATGATCCTCCAGCAGAGGCGGACTTACCGTTAGGCAGAAGTAGGCGACCGCCTTGGCCCCCAAAATACAAGGGCCCACTTAAAATGCTTTTTATATATTGGATGCGCGTTCAGCACGGACGGGCAAGCGGTGATGTGGTGTGTGTTACCAGGACAACCGTCTGCGCGTCCACGTCGAACGTGCTTCTTTTGTATCCTGGTGGTAGCAAATGAAAATATCATGCATCTCAAGCTATAACTTACTGTTTTTCTGAATTGCTAAAACACATTTCTTGAAACCATCTCTCACTTTCTCAAAACCTTAAACACAAAACCAAATTTTCAAACTACATTCAGAGAATCTCTGATTCTTCTGGAAAAATCAAACAATTGCCTCAAAACCATTTTATCTGTGCTCAAAATCAAACAATGCTTTCAGATCATACACACATGAGTCAATATTATAAACACAGAGTTCATTCGTTAGACGCTACATCAAAAAATGGTGAACACAGAATCCAAAGCATGCAGTTACAGAAAAAAAGTATATTGTAACAAAGTAAACTAATTTTGCAATTACGTATAAGTAATGACAACTTACAGTAGTAAGGTGAATAAATTGTATACTGTATGCACTGCAAGTATAGTATTGCACTGCATACATTATAGTATTGAATGTCTGTATACTTGCACTTGCATACTGTGAAAATACAGTGAACCAACTGCAAAAAGGTTACAGTAAATTACTCTAAATGAAAAGCATGTTACAGTCAGTCAGAAGAGTTGTGCAACTGCAGAATCACAGTCAGTGAGAGATTTTATTCTGCTTCAGCTTCATGTCTTCATGTTGATCCGGCCGGAGGACTTTCTCCACATCTCAGACTCTGCCATCCCTGCAGGCAAAGGAAAAAACCCTACAGCTAGATCCAGCCTTGACAACATTCTCCACACCTGCTCTTCCTCGTCCTCCTCCTCCTCATCCACCACCTCTTACACACATACTCTTCCTCTTCTACCTCTTCTCTATTGTTTCCATCCATTATTGGTATCAACATTCAGTGCAACATTTTGAGTCATTTTTGAGTTTTTAAAAGGGTGCCCACTCGTTTCTGTGAAGGACCCAAGTAGAGGATTTATGCGCAGTTACTTTCCACACAGCCACTCACTGACACCCCAGTGAACGCGCTGCACTTTTTACTTCTTTTTTGGTTGAAACAATAATTTAAGTGTGTTAAATTATATTTCATTTCCATTGTTTTTATTTTCATTTAAATTTGTAGTTAAAATCAATAAAAATAACTGTATTTTAAGGTTTAGAATTACAGCTTTTCATTATAGTGAAAATGAGTCTAAAGCACCAGCTAGTGTCCAACCGAGGCTAATACTGTTATAAATGAAGTTCCTAAACGTAAGGTAGGGAGGAGCGAGCCCATCCAATCTTTCAATCAACAAACAGAGTATATAAGCAGCCGCTTACCTCTCCCTAGTATCAGCTGTTCCAGTATCCCTCCACCTCCCCAAACTCCACCTTCATCTTAGGTACCTTGCCCTTTAATTAACAGGTCCTACATTTAGCCACTGGGGGGTATATCAGAGCTCGAGTTGAAGCTGCTTCATCGAGCCCCTCTCCAGCGGACAGCAAGCCAAATAAGTTTAACCTAATATCTTAAAGATTTTATGGGCAAACGAACTCGTTAACCTGTTTAAACGTGAATACCGTAACTGCACTGGGGTGAAAATTATAATATGACAATTCTAATATAGTACGCGGATAGTTCCATGTGTGATTTCACCATATAGCCTACTGTTGCTATTTCGGGGTCTAAAACAAGAATAAAAGCCTTTATAACATGTAGACTACATTCTACAAAAATGTAGAATAATTTGACATCTTTCGTACAGCAGCAGCAGCGAGCATCACAACAGAGAAAACCTCATGAATGATCCAGGTAAATGTGTTGGTAAATTTTTCCTGGGCCCCCAAATCACTAAATCCGCCCTGTCCTCCATTATCCTTCAAAAATAGCTTCAGATTTTGTAGGCTTTGATTTTTTTTTTTTTTTTTTTTTTATATTTACGGTAATTTATGTTATTAACCACCGATGTGGTTGTGTTTCTGAGCTGGACTGGTTAGTGTTGCTTTAGCTGTTGTTCTTCTCAAACCGAGCTGCGCACACTGGCAGACGATTGAGGCCGATAATATTAAACGCTTCTTTTTTCACCTGATTTCGTGCTTGTGTTTCTTCAATGCTCAACAGATGATGAGAAGAAACGGCCTGATGTCTTCCATGCACTGAAGTTAGGTGAGTGTAAAGATGAAATCTACCGTCAAAAAGGTCTACGCTGATCATTTTATTACAGTGTACAGTATAAAGTCCTTTATTCAAGTTATTGTAAATATATACAGTATAATCAGGGTTTTTCCTGGGTCAAAACGAGGCGGAGGTGGTAAAATCCTGATCATGGCTGAAGAAAAAACTTTTTACAAGGGCATATCTGAGGTATTTTAACAATAAGGTAATTGGATTGTTATTTTGAGGACACTATCATATACTGTGTTTCCCACAGGATTTTGTGAAACGGTGGCTGGAAGTTGATCCAGCTAGGGGGGTCAGGGGTTGTGCATTTTAAAGATAAATTCATTAATCTGGTGCACTTTGAGAGTTCAAAATTAAGAGCTCCAACCAATGTTCAGTGTGCAAATTAAACAAGGAAAAAGTCTACATTGACTTGTACCTGAACTTTATAGGGGATTCAAGGGCTTGTGCGGTAGAGATGTGCAGATCAGCTCTAACTTCACCTGAAATCTTTGGCAAATTTACATTTATTTAATAGCCTAAACACAGGTTTTACTCCTTTCAAAATTAAATGATCACTGATTCATTACATCATTGTTGGAAAACACTCTTAGTTTACGTTAAGCTTGTTTTAGTTAAAGTTGTTAAGTTATAAAGCAATCTCATGTAGGGTTTTTCTTTGTGTTTTATGGAATGACCACTGGAATGTGCATGTTTTCCTTGAATGCTTTTCCCTGAAGAGAAATACGTTGTTGAAAACAAAATTAAAAGTGATGCACGTTTGTTGTGTTTTGAGGTGAAATGAGAGTTCTGAGTCTTTTAATGATTTATATCTCATCGATCCGTGACGCACCCGCGTATCCGCGGATATAACGTGATCCGTGCATCACTATCGAACGCTTAGAGAATGGACACAGGTCGGGAACCCGCAACAGAACCATGTCGGTGAAGAAGGGGAATCGCAGCATGGGACTGTAGACGATAGGTCTGTCGACAGCCTGAAGCGCCAAGGAAATTTGACGGAGGCCTCGTAATTCTCTATACACGAAAAACCCTGATATATATGTTTCATGCTTGAGTGATGAAGATGGAATGATTCTGTAGGGTTAATGATCTCAGAGCTGTAGATCAAGTGATTGCAGGGAACGCTCAGCTGGTGGAGGAGATCGTGGAGGAGGACTCGGGGAGTGTAGGGTTAATGAGTGTCGAGTTGATGGAGTCTGTGTTGCGCAGGGAATGCTCAGCTGGTGAAGGAGTTCGTGGAGGAGGACTGGGGGAGTGTAGGGTTAATGAGTGTGGAGTTGATGGAGTGTGTGTTGCGCAGGGAACGCTCAGCTGGTGAAGGAGATCGTGGAGGAGGACTCGGGGGGTGTAGGGTTAATGAGTGTGGAGTTGATGGAGTGTGTGTTGCGCAGGGAACGCTCAGCTGGTGAAGGAGATCGTGGAGGAGGACACGGGGGGTGTAGGGTTAATGAGTGTGGAGTTGATGGAGTGTGTGTTGCGCAGGGAACGCTCAGCTGGTGAAGGAGATCGTGGAGGAGGACTGGGGGGGTGTAGGGTTAATGAGTGTGGAGTTGATGGAGTGTGTGTCGCGCAGGGAACGCTCAGCTGGTGAAGGAGATCGTGGAGGAGGACTGGGGGGGTGTAGGGTTAATGAGTGTCGAGTTGATGGAGTGTGTGTTGCGCAGGGAACGCTCAGCTGGTGAAGGAGATCGTGGAGGAGGACACGGGGGGTGTAGGGTTAATGAGTGTCGAGTTGATGGAGTGTGTGTTGCGCAGGGAACGCTCAGCTGGTGAAGGAGATCGTGGAGGAGGCCTGGGGGGGTGTAGGGTTAATGAGTGTGGAGTTGATGGAGTGTGTGTTGCGCAGGGAACGCTCAGCTGGTGAAGGAGATCGTGGAGGAGGCCTGGGGGGGTGTAGGGTTAATGAGTGTGGAGTTGATGGAGTGTGTGTCGCGCAGGGAACGCTCAGCTGGTGAAGGAGATCGTGGAGGAGGCCTGGGGGGGTGTAGGGTTAATGAGTGTGGAGTTGATGGAGTGTGTGTCGCGCAGGGAACGCTCAGCTGGTGAAGGAGATCGTGGAGGAGGACTGGGGGGGTGTAGGGTTAATGAGTGTCGAGTTGATGGAGTATGGAGTGTGTGTTGCGCAGGGAACGCTCAGCTGGTGAAGGAGATCGTGGAGGAGGACACGGGGGGTGTAGGGTTAATGAGTGTGGAGTTGATGGAGTGTGTGTTGCGCAGGGAACGCTCAGCTGGTGAAGGAGATCGTGGAGGAGGACACGGGGGGTGTAGGGTTAATGAGTGTCGAGTTGATGGAGTGTGTGTTGCGCAGGGAATGCTCAGCTGGTGAAGGAGATCGTGGAGGAGGACTGGGGGGGTGTAGGGTTAACGAGTGTGGAGTTGATGGAGTGTGTGTTGCGCAGGGAACGCTCAGCTGGTGGAGGAGATTGTGGAGGAGGACTCGGGGGGTGTAGGATTAATGAGTGTCGAGTTGATGGAGTGTGTGTTGCGCAGGGAACGCTCAGCTGGTGAAGGAGATCGTGGAGGAGGACACGAGGGGTGTAGGGTTAATGGGTGTGGAGTTGATGGAGTGTGTGTTGCGCAGGGAACGCTCAGCTGGTGAAGGAGATCGTGGAGGAGGACTCGGGGGGTGTAGGGTTAATGAGTGTGGAGTTGATGGAGTGTGTGTTGCGCAGGGAACGCTCAGCTGGTGAAGGAGATCGTGGAGGAGGACACGGGGGGTGTAGGGTTAATGAGTGTGGAGTTGATGGAGTGTGTGTTGCGCAGGGAACGCTCAGCTGGTGAAGGAGATCGTGGAGGAGGACTGGGGGGTGTAGGGTTAATGAGTGTCGAGTTGATGGAGTGTGTGTCGCTCAGGGAACGCTCAGCTGGTGAAGGAGATCGTGGAGGAGGACACGGGGGGTGTAGGGTTAACGAGTGTGGAGTTGATGGAGTGTGTTTCGCGCAGGGAACGCTCAGCTGGTGAAGGAGATCGTGGAGGAGGACTGGGGGGGTGTAGGGTTAATGAGTGTGGAGTTGATGGAGTGTGTGTTGCGCAGGGAACGCTCAGCTGGTGAAGGAGATCGTGGAGGAGGACTCGGGGGGTGTAGGGTTAATGAGTGTCGAGTTGATGGAGTGTGTGTTGCGCATGGAACGCTCAGCTGGTGAAGGAGATCGTGGAGGAGGACTGGGGGGGTGTAGGGTTAATGAGTGTCGAGTTGATGGAGTGTGTGTTGCGCAGGGAACGCTCAGCTGGTGAAGGAGATCGTGGAGGAGGACTGGGGGGGTGTAGGGCTAATGAGTGTCGAGTTGATGGAGTGTGTGTCGCGCAGGGAACGCTCAGCTGGTGAAGGAGATCGTGGAGGAGGACTGGGGGGGTGTAGGGTTAATGAGTGTGGAGTTGATGGAGTGTGTGTCGCGCAGGGAACGCTCAGCTGGTGAAGGAGATCGTGGTGGAGGACTCGGGAGTGTAGTGTTAATGAGTGTCGAGTTGATGGAGTGTGTGTCGCGCAGGGAACGCTCAGCTGGTGAAGGAGATCGTGGAGGAGGACTGGGGGGGTGTAGGGTTAATGAGTGTGGAGTTGATGGAGTGTGTGTCGCGCAGGGAACGCTCAGCTGGTGAAGGAGATCGTGGAGGAGGACTGGGGGGGTGTAGGGTTAATGAGTGTGGAGTTGATGGAGTGTGTGTCGCGCAGGGAACGCTCAGCTGGTGAAGGAGATCGTGGAGGAGGACTGGGGGGTGTAGGGTTAATGAGTGTGGAGTTGATGGAGTGTGTGTCGCGCAGGGAACGCTCAGTTGGTGAAGGAGATCGTGGAGGAGGACTCGGGAGTGTAGTGTTAATGAGTGTCGAGTTGATGGAGTGTGTGTCGCGCAGGGAACGCTCAGCTGGTGAAGGAGATCGTGGAGGAGGACTGGGGGGTGTAGGGTTAATGAGTGTGGAGTTGATGGAGTGTGTGTCGCGCAGGGAACGCTCAGCTGGTGAAGGAGATCGTGGAGGAGGACTGGGGGGGTGTAGGGTTAATGAGTGTGGAGTTGATGGAGTGTGTGTTGCGCAGGGAACGCTCAGCTGGTGAAGGAGATCGTGGAAGAGGACTCGGGAGTGTAGTGTTAATGATTGTCGAGTTGATGGAGTGTGTGTCGCGCAGGGAACGCTCAGCTGGTGAAGGAGATCGTGGAGGAGGACTGGGGGGGTGTAGGGTTAACGAGTGTGGAGTTGATGGACAGTGTGTTGCGCAGGGAACGCTCAGCTGGTGGAGGAGATTGTGGAGGAGGACTCGGGGGGTGTAGGATTAATGAGTGTCGAGTTGATGGAGTGTGTGTTGCGCAGGGAACGCTCAGCTGGTGGAGGAGATCGTGGAGGAGGACTCGGGGGGTGTAGGGTTAATGAGTGTCGAGTTGATGGAGTGTGTGTTGCGCAGGGAACGCTCAGCTGGTGAAGGAGATCGTGGAGGAGGACACGAGGGGTGTAGGGTTAATGAGTGTGGAGTTGATGGAGTGTGTGTTGCGCAGGGAACGCTCAGCTGGTGAAGGAGATCGTGGAGGAGGACTCGGGGGGTGTAGGGTTAATGAGTGTGGAGTTGATGGAGTGTGTGTTGCGCAGGGAACGCTCAGCTGGTGAAGGAGATCGTGGAGGAGGACACGGGGGGTGTAGGGTTAATGAGTGTGGAGTTGATGGAGTGTGTGTTGCGCAGGGAACGCTCAGCTGGTGAAGGAGATCGTGGAGGAGGACACGGGGGGTGTAGGGTTAACGAGTGTGGAGTTGATGGAGTGTGTGTCGCGCAGGGAACGCTCAGCTGGTGAAGGAGATCGTGGAGGAGGACTGGGGGGGTGTAGGGTTAATGAGTGTGGAGTTGATGGAGTGTGTGTTGCGCAGGGAACGCTCAGCTGGTGAAGGAGATCGTGGAGGAGGACACGGGGGGTGTAGGGTTAACGAGTGTGGAGTTGATGGAGTGTGTTGCGCAGGGAACGCTCAGCTGGTGAAGGAGATCGTGGAGGAGGACTCGGGGGGTGTAGGGTTAATGAGTGTCGAGTTGATGGAGTGTGTGTTGCGCAGGGAACGCTCAGCTGGTGAAGGAGATCGTGGAGGAGGACTGGGGGGGTGTAGGGTTAACGAGTGTGGAGTTGATGGAGTGTGTGTTGCGCAGGGAACGCTCAGCTGGTGAAGGAGATCGTGGAGGAGGCCTGGGGGGGTGTAGGGTTAATGAGTGTCGAGTTGATGGAGTGTGTGTTGCGCAGGGAACGCTCAGCTGGTGAAGGAGATCGTGGAGGAGGACTGGGGGGGTGTAGGGTTAATGAGTGTCGAGTTGATGGAGTGTGTGTCGCGCAGGGAGCGCTCAGCTGGTGAAGGAGATCGTGGAGGAGGACTGGGGGGGTGTAGGGTTAATGAGTGTCGAGTTGATGGAGTGTGTGTCGCGCAGGGAACGCTCAGCTGGTGAAGGAGATCGTGGAGGAGGACTCGGGAGTGTAGTGTTAATGAGTGTCGAGTTGATGGAGTGTGTGTCGCGCAGGGAACACTCAGCTGGTGAAGGAGATCGTGGAGGAGGACTGGGGGGGTGTAGGGTTAATGAGTGTCGAGTTGATGGAGTGTGTGTCGCGCAGGGAACGCTCAGCTGGTGAAGGAGATCGTGGAGGAGGACTGGGGGGGTGTAGGGTTAATGAGTGTGGAGTTGATGGAGTGTGTGTCGCGCAGGGAACGCTCAGCTGGTGAAGGAGATCGTGGAGGAGGACTGGGGGGTGTAGGGTTAATGAGTGTGGAGTTGATGGAGTGTGTGTCGCGCAGGGAACGCTCAGTTGGTGAAGGAGATCGTGGAGGAGGACTCGGGAGTGTAGTGTTAATGAGTGTCGAGTTGATGGAGTGTGTGTCGCTCAGGGAACGCTCAGCTGGTGAAGGAGATCGTGGAGGAGGACTGGGGGGGTGTAGGGTTAATGAGTGTGGAGTTGATGGAGTGTGTGTCGCGCAGGGAACGCTAAGCTGGTGAAGGAGATCGTGGAGGAAGACTGGGGGGGTGTAGGGTTAATGAGTGTGGAGTTGATGGAGTGTGTGTTGCGCAGGGAACGCTCAGCTGGTGAAGGAGATCGTGGAGGAGGACTCGAGAGTGTAGTGTTAATGAGTGTCGAGTTGATGGAGTGTGTGTCGCGCAGGGAACGCTCAGCTGGTGAAGGAGATCGTGGAGGAGGACTGGGGGGGTGTAGGGTTAATGAGTGTGGAGTTGATGGAGCGTGTGTCGCGCAGGGAACGCTCAGCTGGTGAAGGAGATCGTGGAGGAGGACTGGGGGGGTGTAGGGTTAATGAGTGTGGAGTTGATGGAGTGTGTGTCGCGCAGGGAACGCTCAGCTGGTGAAGGAGATCGTGGAGGAGGACTGGGGGGGTGTAGGGTTAATGAGTGTCGAGTTGATGGAGTGTGTGTCGCGCAGGGAACGCTCAGTTGGTGAAGGAGATCGTGGAGGAGGACTCGGGAGTGTAGTGTTAATGAGTGTCGAGTTGATGGAGTGTGTGTTGCGCAGGGAACGCTCAGCTGGTGAAGGAGATCGTGGAGGAGGACTGGGGGGTGTAGGGTTAATGAGTGTCGAGTTGATGGAGTGTGTGTCGCGCAGGGAACGCTCAGTTGGTGAAGGAGATCGTGGAGGAGGACTCGGGAGTGTAGTGTTAATGAGTGTCGAGTTGATGGAGTGTGTGTTGCGCAGGGAACGCTCAGCTGGTGAAGGAGATCGTGGAGGAGGACACGAGGGGTGTAGGGTTAATGAGTGTCGAGTTGATGGAGTGTGTGTTGCGCAGGGAACGCTCAGCTGGTGAAGGAGATCGTGGAGAAGGACACGGGGGGTGTAGGGTTAATGAGTGTGGAGTTGATGGAGTGTGTGTTGCGCAGGGAACGCTCAGCTGGTGAAGGAGATCGTGGAGGAGGACTGGGGGTGTAGGGTTAATGAGTGTGGAGTTGATGGAGTGTGTGTCGCGCAGGGAACGCTCAGCTGGTGAAGGAGATCGTGGAGGAGGACTCGGGGGGTGTAGGGTTAATGAGTGTGGAGTTGATGGAGTGTGTGTTGCGCAGGGAACGCTCAGCTGGTGAAGGAGATCGTGGAGGAGGACTGGGGGTGTAGGGTTAATGAGTGTGGAGTTGATGGAGTGTGTGTTGCGCAGGGAACGCTCAGCTGGTGAAGGAGATCGTGGAGGAGGACACGAGGGGTGTAGGGTTAATGAGTGTGGAGTTGATGGAGTGTGTGTTGCGCAGGGAACGCTCAGCTGGTGAAGGAGATCGTGGAGGAGGACTGGGGGGGTGTAGGGTTAATGAGTGTGGAGTTGATGGAGTGTGTGTCGCGCAGGGAACGCTCAGTTGGTGAAGGAGATCGTGGAGGAGGACTGGGGGGTGTAGGGTTAATGAGTGTGGAGTTGATGGAGTGTGTGTCGCGCAGGGAACGCTCAGCTGGTGAAGGAGATCGTGGAGGAGGACACGAGGGGTGTAGGGTTAATGAGTGTCAAGTTGATGGAGTGTGTGTTGCGCAGGGAACGCTCAGCTGGTGAAGGAGATCGTGGAGGAGGACTGGGGGGGTGTAGGGTTAATGAGTGTCGAGTTGATGGAGTGTGTGTCGCGCAGGGAACGTTCAGCTGGTGAAGGAGATCGTGGAGGAGGACTGGGGGGGTGTAGGGTTAATGAGTGTCGAGTTGATGGAGTGTGTGTCGCGCAGGGAACGCTCAGCTGGTGAAGGAGATCGTGGAGGAGGACTGGGGGGGTGTAGGGTTAATGAGTGTCGAGTTGATGGAGTGTGTGTTGCGCAGGGAACGCTCAGCTGGTGAAGGAGATCGTGGAGGAGGACTGGGGGGGTGTAGGGTTAATGAGTGTCGAGTTGATGGAGTGTGTGTCGCGCAGGGAACGCTCAGCTGGTGAAGGAGATCGTGGAGGAGGACTGGGGGGGTGTAGGGTTAATGAGCGTCGAGTTGATGGAGTGTGTGTCGCGCAGGGAACGCTCAGCTGGTGAAGGAGATCGTGGAGGAGGACTCGGGGCAGGTGAACGCCCTGAACGCTGACGGAGCGTCTCCGCTGATGATGGCGGCTGTGAGTGGGCAGCTGGAGCTGGTGCAGATGCTGGTGGAGAAACAGGCTCACGTGGACCAACGGGACTCAGTGCACGGCTGGACAGCGCTCATGCAGGCCACGTACCACGGGTCAGCACACACACCTTTACACACGGGTCAGCACACATGCCCTTACACACAGGTCAGCACA